ATTGATTGATTTCTTTCCTGACCTGCCAGTTCGAATACACTGAACCATCGCCCAATGTCTTCAACTACTCTGGCGGCGACACCATCCTGGCCATCGCCGAAAACCACGGCAAGCGCGTTCGCTGCCACAACCTCATCTGGGTCAGCCAGCTGCCCGACTGGGTGGTGAACGGCAGCTGGACAGCGGCGAGCCTCACAGCGGTGATGAAGACGCACATCACGAACCTGATCACGCACTGGGGAGGGCGGTGCTACTCGTGGGACGTGGTCAACGAGGCGCTGGCGGCGAACGGGTCGTGGGCGTCCAGCATCTGGTACGACACCATCGGGCCCGAGTACTTCTTCCTCGCGTACCGGTTTGCGCAGGAGGCGGTCGAAAAGACCGGCCAGGACATCAAGCTGTACTACAATGACTACGGGATCGAGGCGCCCGGTCCCAAGACGACGGCGGCGTACAACCTGGTCAAGGAGCTGCAGGCGCGAGGCATCCGGATCGATGGCGTGGGGTTGGAGTCGCATTTCGAAGTGGGCGCGACGCCATCCAAGGACGCGCAGGTTGAGGCCAAGCAGGGGTTTTTGGATCTGGGGGTCGATGTTGTCGTCACGGAGCTGGATGTCAGATTCCCGGAGGGGCCGTTCTACACGGCGGCGGGTGAGAAGCAGCAGGCGCAGGACTATTATGATACGGTGGCGAGCTGCGTGGAGGTTGGTCCTCGGTGTGTGGGCATCACGGTGTGGGATTTTGACGATGCGTATTCGTGGGTGCCGTCATCGTTTCCTGGACAGGGAGCGGCTGATCTGTATAATGGGACGTTGCAGCGGAAGCCGGCGTACTATGCGGTGGCAGAGGCATTGCAGGGGGTGAGTTGTAGTGTGTGCTAACTATCTTAGTAGACAGTCGTCAAAGAAATAGGTAGTTTTGACAAAACGGACAGTAAGACATTAAAGTCAGGATAAGGTGGTACAGTGTAAAAAAAATGGGAAGATACCAGTCTCAAACTTGGATCCTCAAGTGTACAGTACAGTACATAGAAATTATCCCTTTCTATGCAATCTAAAAGCACAGGGAAAGGAATTCTTCCCAATTAGGCAAAAATGAATTAACTTTATTTAGCGTAGAACTTCATGTAACAACTCCCTCTACTCTGTCAATGCGCATACGTGTATACCTTACTCCGGACTAGTTAGGATAAGGATTGTAGAGGAATAAAGTCCTGATTCCTTTACCCGCTACACGTATTACAAGTACAGCCCTGTCTCTGTTAGTCTTTCTACATTTCCCTGGTCAATTCTGCATACACATGTGTGTATGACAGTACAAACATACACGTGCAAGACGCAGTCCTACTCTTTTCTCTATAGATAGATCCATAAATCTGCAGATGGATACGTATCTACTAAGCAAAGACATAGCAATATCATATACCTGTCGAACACTTTTAGAAAAAAGAATCGATATGGCAGATAGACCTAACAACCCAGCTACATATGTAATGCACATACATAATCAAAATAATACAGTCAGAAAGAAAGAAGAAACAGACAGATACAGTACGTATGTACAGTACAGTACATACCTACATGCAGATATTTTCTTTCTCTATAATCCAAGAAGAAGAAGAAGAAGCCAAGAGGCCAGACCAGGCCAGACCACACCATACCATACCGGGCCAGATCAGATCAAATCAAATCAAATCAGATTAAATCCCATTTAGTGGTTATAGTTATCTCATTAATTTCCATTGCTTCCCTGTATTTTAAATTTTTCTTTCTTTTTCTTTTTCTTTTTTTTTGTGATTTCATTATTTCATTTTCGTCACGGGTAGCCGCAGCCGCAGCTGCAGTTGCAGAATTAAGCATTAATAATTAAAAAAAGAAAAAAACAAATTATTGATAATAATTGACAATAATTGATAATAAATAACAATAAATAAATAAATAATGCTGGTTAGTACGGTAAGTATAACCATGTGTGAATTGAATTGAGTATTATTATTGTCAGACAGACAGGTCCAGACCAAACCAGACCAGGTCAGGTCATACGTTCCCACATCCCCCTAAAAAAAGAAAAAAAGAGAGAGAGAGAGAGAGAGAACTGAAATCAGAGTCGAGTCAATACAAAAATCCTATTAATTACGGAGTAAAGTATTTGCTTGCCAAGGTCTTTTTGCTTTTTTTCTTTTTTTTTTGTTTTTTTTCTTTGTCTTTCTCCTACCCCCCTTGCTATG